GAGAATGGTATAAAATCCCCTGCATTACATTCTCTGTAGTGAGTTATGGTGATTGAATGTGTCCCCATTTTTAGGTTTAAGAGAAGTAATTTCAGAAATAGGAAGCAGATTATGATTTGAGTGGAACTTACGGCTGCATCTTGGAGGAGGTGCCCAGCCTCCATCCGTGCATTTTGCTGTGTTTCCTCGGGATGAGGGATAAAAGCCATTGTCACAGCGGTACGTGATCACATCTTCCAGTCTGTGTTTGGTCCTGTGAGGTGCGTAGAGGCCATTAGGAATAGTTGGGGGATCACAGGTTGTTTCTGAAAGGAGAAAGGACAGGTGGGTGATGCAGAAACCACTGCCCAGGAAGAGTCAAGTCCATGACAGTACAGAGAATGTTGGAAAACTCCCCCAGACATTTTGGGGTATCATCTAGCTTTTCTGTCACCCACTTTCCAGTCAAGTTTTCATGAGCATATTCACATGGCTCTCTAATATCTGTGGAGGTGCTTTCAGACTCTGGAACTAAGAAGACAGAACACTACTTATTTTATTCTCCCTGGAAATAAATATACCATAATCATCCTACAAGTTATTCTCTGTTTGATGTCACGATACACACTGCCCCTACCAGTCAGTTCATTAAACCCAGAGACACGTGCAAGTAGGAAGGAGAAGTTGCAGGTCGGAGGGAGCTGAGTGTGCAGGTCTGTGCCCAGCTTACCTTGTCCATGAGCCTGGGAGACCCCCAAGGTGACAATGACACTGATCAGGGACAGCAGCATGCTGGACATCCCCGATGGTGCAGTAACACTAATGTCCCCGCCGTGCTCTGTGGGTTGTGAGTCTGCCCTGTGAGGGGTGGTTAGTGGGACCATGAATTTAAGGGCACTGCCAGGATGTTAGTTCATTGATGTCACGTAGTGAATATCAAATTCCAGGAAGTCTTGCAAGATCTGTAAATTTTTGTTAATCATTTCACAATTATTTCTTGTTTTCTCTTCCTCATTGTACTTCTGTCACTTTCTTAGAATACCAACACACAAAAAAGGCAATATAAAACAGCATGCTTTCAAATAAGCAAGTTTTGAAATGGGTGAGGCTCTTTCTCCACCCAGAGATGGAGTGGGAATAACTCCGAGTCCACGTCCCTTTAACTGTCCTTGTCCTGTATGTGACCTCACCCAGCCTCAGTCCTTAGGGTCTGTGAGCACCAACCCGTGTATCTGGACCCCACTCGGCCTCTGTACCTTCTTGTCCATAGAAAAGCACTGATTTCTGGTGAACCCTTAATGGACCACAACACAGAGCACAAGACTTTCAGTTCATCCTGGACATCGAGATGTTCTTAACTAATGCGCTTTGAGGTCCCTTGTCATTAAAGGTGCACTGTATTCAGAGGTTCACAGTAGAAAAAAAGGAAGTATGAACCTTCACCCTGAGAAGTTGTTTGACTAATATACTTTCCGCTCAATTGTAATTTGGAGACTGTTTATAAGACAGTGCTTCCTATTTGATGGGGACTTTGTTTTTGTGTGCTTTCACAATAAGCATTGAGAAAATAAAAATTCAGTTCCTATATTAACTTAGCATCAGGTATATTGTTTTGTGACTAGCTAGCATGAGATTTGCAACTTTCAAATAAGGTGTTGCTTTTGTCAAACAGAACTTTTGGCACAGTTTCGACCACACACAGGGGAACAGGACGAAGGATGGATCTGTTTCACCCTCAGAAACTCGTCACCTGGGCCAGGGACACCCTAGCTGATGGCAGCAAGGGGACAGAGTGATGGCTCTGTTTTTGCTCACTGTTTTTCCATCTAACATTCTCATTGTGTTAGTTCCCCCAGTAAATTAGTGGAAAGCTGACATGTTTTGATGGTTAAACCTCCAATCCAACTAAGATGCACAAAGCCACACTGTTATCTGTACTGAGTTCAGTAATCTGTAGGCAAATAGCCATGGCTGGTGTGGTTCAGTGAATTCAGCACTGGCCTGTGAACCAAAGGGTCACTGGTTCGATCCTCAGTCAGGGCACGAGCCTGGGTTGTGGGCCTGGTCTTCACTTTGGGGATGTGCAAGAGGCAGCTGTACTTGATGTTTCTGTCCTCTTCCTCCCCCTCTTTCCCTCTATCTGAACTAAATGCAATAAAATCTTTTTAAAAAATCTTTAGGGAACTAGTCCTGTCCCCGAAATGGTGAATGATGCTTATCTTGGCACAAGTGTAAATGCTGAGATAGTTTATTTTAACACCTTTGGGAGAAGATCAGGTTGAAAGTTCAGACCACAGTATTGTATTGATTTCCCTGAAATAAAGTAGAAAAGAGCAGGACATGTCTGAGATTTGTAGCAAGGTTGAGGCAGTGCAGGCAGCAGGTGGTAGCTCCTTCATTCACATGTGGGCACCTGCACTGTCCCTTCCCGACACACAGCTTGAAGTGACTGCCCTGATGTCACTGCACTGTGTCCCGGTTTACACATAAATTCAACGATTTCCCCTGTTTTTGCATAGTACGTCTTGTCCTCTTTCCCTTTCAACTGTATGTTATTTTCATCGAGGATTTCTTCAGCTATAACACAAGGATCTGAAAGTAGACAAATAAATAAAAACAGTGACTAATCTTTCTTTTAGTGGACTAAGAAAGCTCTGAGCTAATGAATAATTGAGGACAACAAAAGGTGATGACGTAATCTCAATGGCTCATATTTATTAACGTGGGCTAAGTACTGTCCTTAGCAATTCCTGTGACATCCTCCAGCTCCTTCATGGGGCAGCTACTGCTAGTCACACACTAGGAGACTGAGGAAAGGCCAGTTCAGTCACACTGTCCAAGGTCACGGAGCTCAGCAGGGGGACGATGGGTGCGGACCCTGGCACCTGACTCTGAAGCCTTGACCTCTGTCTGAGGTGTGCACAGCACCCACCCCAGTGAGCTCGTGTCCAGGGGAGGTGCGTGGACCTGCTCTACATGGTCCTGGTCTTCACTCTGCATTTCACACTCAGCTGGCAGTGACCACAAACACTCCAAGTTCATGACAGCATGGATGGAACTGGAAAGCATTATGCCAAGTGAAATAAGCCAGGTAGTGAAAGACAGATTCCATGGGATCTCACCTACAAGTGCAACCTACTCCACAAAACCAAGAAGCAAGCAAAGTATAACCAGAGACATGGAAATAAAGAGCAAACTGACAGTGGCCAGAGGGGAGGGGAGAGAGGTATAATGTGGAACGGCCATCAGGGGACATGTGTGAAGCACACACAGATGAAGCCAGGTGGTGGGTTCAAGGGTGGGAGGTGGAGTGAAAATGGACACAACGGTACTTGAACAATTTTAAAAAACAACAAAGAATCTGCAAAATACAATATATGTCTCTAGAGTCTTTATTTTATCTTTTAAACCTGTGCCAAATTGAGTCAGAAAAGACTGTGATATGTGTACCTGACATATGAGCACTTTGTACCTGAAACAATCTTATTCTAGAATAAACATAAATATGTACTGCAAAAAGTATACTTATATATATATGGATACATAATTCACTTGTACATCCATCTATCTGACCAATAATGCATTATGTTTTATCTATCATCTATGTATGTATGTATGTATGTATGTATCTATCTATCTATCTATCTATCTATCTATCTATCATCTATCCATCTAATCTTTTTCATTCTCTATGGTCAGGACAGGCTGCATAGAAGCACAGATACACACATAGTGTGGATTTGAATCTCATCTTGATTATGAACAAATGTCTTTGCCTCACTATGTCCCTGTGCCTTCTTCTGTAAAAATCAGTATAAATGTTTCCTTTTTAGAAGTGTTTTGTGACATCAGAGAGTTTCTAGTTCATTGCTTATGCAATGTGACTGTAAGCAATATTTCATAGGTTATAATATTGCTGTAATACCATATGATCTCACCTGGAAGTCACCTTGTCTCTTTTCTGTAAACAAGCTGCTATAGCATTGTAAAAACGATTACATGCAAGTAATTTTAACTTTCTTCTATTGACTGTGTCAGGGAGGGGTTGGTGAATAAGATTATACAGCTTTCCCAGGTACAATTCCACATCACAGCACCTGTATGTTGCATGTGTGCCCACCACCCCAAGTACAATCTTCTTCTACCACCAGTTGTTTGACCCCTTTTCCCTTTGCTACCTCCCCATGTCCTTACCTCTGTGGTCTGTGTGAGTAGTTTGTGTTTGTTGTTTTTCTTATTATTTACTTGTTGCTTTCAGTTTTCTATCCTGCATAAAGTTAAATCCCATGGTTCATGCTATTTTCTGTCTGACATTTCGCTCACATGATTTTCTCCATGTCCATCCAAGTTGTCACCAATGTCAGTATTTCATCTTATAGCCGAGAGGTGTTCCATTTATACATGTACCACATCTTTATCCTACCATATGTCAAATTTCCAACATACCATGGGCTCCCCATACATACCCAAGTATGTTGCATTCTAGTTCCACCATCCCTGACATTGGGGAGGCCTTCGAAATAGCTCAAATTATGTTCCCACACATCCCACTAACTCTTACATGATAAAACTTCATAAAAATTCATATCAGTTAGGATATTCTTAGGTTTTGAAAGCCCAACAAACATTCACATGCATGTTAATATCCAAAAATATGTATTATATGAGGTTTACATACCTTCAAACATATATTTCATGGCTTTCTTTTTGCATTTTAATTTTTATTGATTGATTTCTAGTGACAGAAGGTAGGAGGAAGGAGAAAGGAGAGAGACAGGGAAAGGAATTCCATCAGTTGCTCCCTGTACTCATCTGGGGACATACAGGTCATGACAGAGATTCAACCCCTGAAATTTTAAATCAGTGACTCAGAGTGAAGTCTGACCTTGGTCACAGAATTGCTTTTGTGTCCTTGGATGATGATAATTGGTTCCCACTCTTAGTGTTTGGAGAAGGTAAAGCCTGTGCTATGAATCACATCTTAGACTTGTCATTCAAACGTGAGATTGAGTATTTCTTTTGGAAGTTCAACATGTTTTTTCCTATGAAATCTAGGTTGGAGCTCTTTCTAGATGACTCTGACTTGCATACACATAGTTGGTCTTCAATGCTGCCACTATGAGGGTCAGGAGCATTGAATTTGCTACAAGTCCCAGAGAAAGGGACACATACATGGGAGATAATGAGGAAGGTTTGGACCACAGTGGGATCAGTTAATATACCATAATCAGTGTGGGTGTTTTTGCCTCCTTGGTCAGTTATTAATTGATCTAAAGGCATGAGGTCTGTGTCTGGGCTCTCTATTATGTTCCATTGACCTATGGATTTGTGTTTATGCCAGTACCATGCTGTTTTGATTATCATGGCCCTGTACAATAGTTTGATGTCAGGCAGATGATTCATGCAACTTTGTTCTTTTTTTTCTCTAGATTCCTGTGGCTCTTTGGGGTCTTTTGTGTTCTGTATCAATTTTTGGATTATTTGTTCTAGTTCTATGAAAAGTACCATTGGTATCTTGATAGGAATAGTGATGAATCTATAAATTGCTTTGGGTAGTATGGATATTATATGATTTTAATTCTTTCTATCCATGAAATGGCATATGCTTCCACTTCTTTGCATTTTTTTCAATGTCTTATAATTTCTTTTTTTAAAAATTTTATTGATTATGCTGTTACAGTTGTTCTATTCCCCCTTTCATTTCCCACCCTACCTCTCCCCACCGTACCCCCCTTTAGTTTGTGACCAAGTGTCTCAAGTCCTTTAGATCGATATTTCCCATGCTATTACTTGCCCCCTTCTCTTTTCTATCTACTGTCTTGTCTTTACTTATTTTTGTACCTTCTCCCCTTTCTCCTCCTCCCACTCTGTTGCTAACCCTCCTTGAGATCTTCATTTCTATGTTTCCACTCTGATCTAGCTGTCCTTTTAGTTTGCTTTCGTTTTAGGTGTGGTTGTTAATAACTATTGAGTTTGCTGTCCTTTCACTGTTCATGTTTCTTTAACTTCTTTTTCTTAGATAAGTCCTTTAACATTTCATAGAATAAGGGCTTGGTGATGATGAACTCCTTGAATTTGATCTTATCTGAGAAACACCTTATCTGTCCTTCCATTCTAAATGAGAAGTTTTGCTGGATAGAGCAATCTTGGTTGTAGGTCTTTGGATTTCATGACTTGGAATACCTCTTTCCAGCCTTCTTCGCATAGCCAGGTCTCTTTTGAGAAATCATGACAGTCTGATAGAGACTCCTTTGTGAGTGACTGTCCCCTTAGCTCTTGCTGCTTCTGATTCTCTCCTTCATTTATTTTGGCTAATGTATTGATGATGTGCCTTGTTGTGTTCTTCTTGGGTCCAAGTTCTTTGGGACTCTCTGGGCTTCCTGGATTTTCTAGTCTATTTCCTTTAACCAGATTGGGGAAATTCTCCTTTATTATTTGTTGAAATCAGTTTTCCACTGGTGGCTGTGCCTTTCCCCCTTCTGGTACCCCTATAATTCAGATGATGGAGC